AGTATTTTATCAGATACATGATTTGCAAATAGTCTGTGGCTCATCTTTTCATTTTCTTAATGGTGTCTTTGAAGTGCGAACATTTTAAATTTAGATGAAATACAACTTTTTTTTCTTTTATGGTGTCATATCTAAGATCTCTTTGCCTAACCCAAGGTCATGAATATTTTTCTCCTGTCTTCAAAAAGTTTTACAGTTTTAGTTCTTATATTTAGCTGTATGATCCATTTTGAATTAATTTGCATGTGAATAGTTCAATTTTCAAGCACCATTTGTTTAAAAGACTATCTCATTCCCATGTGGGTTTTCTTAAATTGTATTTTTAAATATTCTGTGCCGTGGCATAGGTTTTCTACTTTAGGGGCCCCATTTTTGGGCTTAACAATTTTCCTTGGTTTTCTTTATCCATCAGCTTTTCCCTGATTCTTTGTGACTCTCTATTTCCATTTTATTTTGGTCACTTTTCTTATTTCTATCCTTATTTCTATGCCTCTCCCTGAGTTGTCTGCAGGGTCTAATCTCCCTTGGGCTTCTTTTTATGTTGTCTTCCTTTCTAGGGTGTTTTTGGTTTTGCTTCTACTTTTTTTCTGTGTTTTGCCAGCTCACATTTCCTCATCTGTACCCAGAGTTCGTTCTGGGAGAGTATTTTTGCTGGCCCTTTCCGCACTCTGCTCCCATCAAGCTGTGCTCCCAGCTGTCTGCCTTGCTCCAAGCTTCCCCGCAGGTGACTTCTGTTACACTTCACCCCTTCCTGCTTCAGCTCTGGACGGCAATTGTAGTTGCTTTTGGCAGTCCTTATGTGTATTTTGAGTCTACAGATTATATCTGTCTCCTTGTTTTGCTGAAAATGGAGTGTGCTATCCAAGAGTAAAAGAAGAAAATTGCCATCTTGTATCCGCACGTTCATATCTGAGAACCCCAGTCCTGGATCTCTGCTTATTTATCATTCTAATGATTCACTCAGTACCAGAGCCTGAAACTGGTGTCTTCCAACGATTCTAGAAAATCATAAGATATTTTCACTTCGTGGGGCGCCTGGGTGGCTCAGTCGGTGAAGCAACTGCCTTCGGCTCAGGTCATGATCCCAGGGTCCTGGGATCAAGTCCCGCATCGGGCTCTCCACTCAGGGGTGAGTCTGCTTCTCCCTCTCCCTCTGTGATCTCTCTCGCTTTCACTGTCTGTCAAATAAATAAATAAAATTTAAAAAAAAATATTTTCACTTCGACAATTATTTCTTTCCCTTGTCTCTCATATGGCTCCTCCCCAAACTCACTCTATCCTCTGTGGGACTCCTCATTCTGTTCTTCATATTTTTAAATCTCTCTTCCATATTTGTCATCTCTCTGAGCTGTATTCTGCATAATTTCTTCTAAATCTTCTTGGAAGGGCCTTAGATAACGACTCTGTCTGAAAATTTTTGGCAGCTCTTTATCCCTATTCCCTGCTTCATTCCTCTCTGTAGTATTTTCCACCATTTGACACACGGTATTTTAAATATTTTGTCTCCACTATCTTTTTTCATTCTTAAGTAAACTTTTTTTTTACGGTTTTATTTGTTTGAGAGAGAGAGAGAGACCGTATATACACGCGCGTGCGCATGAGTGGGGGAGGGGCAGAGGGAGAAGGACAAGCAGATTCCCCGCTGAGTAGTAAGCCCATGCTTGGCTCGATCCCAGGACCCCGAGATCATGACCTGAGCTGAAGGCAGATGCTTAACTGACTGAGCCACCCAGGCACCCCTGTACTTTTTTTTTTTTTTTAAGATTTTACTTATTTGCCAGAGAGAGAGAGCACAAGCAGAGGGAGTGGCAGGCAGAGGGAGAGGGAGAAGCAGACTCCCTGCTGAGCAGGGAGCCTGATGTGGGGCTTGATCCCAGGACCCTGGGATCATGACCTGAGCTGAAGGCAGACGCTTAATGACTGAGCCACCCAGGCACCCCATGTCTGGCTTCTTTTTGCCTACCATTTCGTGAAATGGAAACACAAACCTAAATGTTGTTGGGCATGGCTCTAGCTCATTCTCGTTGCTGTATAGTATTCCATTGGGCAAATATACCATAATTTATTTTTCCCTTCTACTACTGAGGGAGATTTTGGTGGTTTCCAGTTTTGGACTATTACAAATAGTGCTGCCATGAACATTTACAACATGTCTTTCGATAATGTCGTGACACCTTTTGGTTGGGTGTGTACCTGGAAACAGAGCTGCGGGGCTAGAGAGTGTTTGTCTTGGTTCTGAGCTGCTCGTTTTCTTGGAACTTTATCTGAAGGAAACCTTTGGGACTTTAGACTAAAGTTAAAAAAATGCTTCAGAGAGAATTTCTTTGCTTCCTCCAGTTACCTGGGGCACTGCCAACCAGACCATTTTAAATTTTCTCCAGACTACACAGGTAATATGAATGCGGAATACAACCTGCATGAGGCCCCATTTGCAGTTATAAATGTTCAGGAGAATTTCCTGCTCTGTCTACCAGAGCCATGCCAGAGATGGGCTGGTTTCTTCACTGTTGTCTTCTGTGTGGTGGATTATTTCTCATCGATTGAAGGTTTAGGTTTTGGAGTGCCAGCTTCGAATGGCAGATTCATTTGCTAGGGCTGCCCTAACAAAGCACCACAAACTGGGTGGCTTAGAACAGCAGAGACTTATTCTCTCACAGCTCTGGAGGCTAGAAGTCCAAAGTCAAGATGTTGGCTGGGTTGGTTCCTTCTTTTTTATTTTATTATTTTTTAAATATTTTAAAGATTTTATCTTTTTATTAACATATAATGTATTATTTGTTTCAAGGGTACAGGTCTGTGATTCATCAGTCTTACACAATTCACAGCGCTCACCAAAGTACCTACCCTCCCCAGTGTCCATCACCCAGCCACCCCATCCCTCCCACCCACCTCCACTCAAGCAACTCTCAGTTTGTTTCCTGAGGTTAAGAGTCTCTTATGGTTTGTCTCCCTCTCTCCGGTTTCGTTTTGTTTCATTTTTCCCTCCCTTCCCCTATGATCCTCTGTCTTGTTTCTCAAATTCCTCATATCAGTGAGATCATATGATACTTGTCTTTCTCTGATTGACTTATTTCGCTTAGCATAATACCCTCTAGTTCCATCCACGTCGTGGCAAATGGCAAGATTTCAATTTTTTGATGGCTGTAGAATATTCCATTGTGTATATACACCACATCTTCTTTATCCATTCATCTGTTGGTGGACATCTAAGCTCTTTTCATAGTTTGGCTATTGTGGACGTTGCTGCTATAAACACTGGGGTGCATGTCCCCCTTCGGATCACTGCATTTGTATCTTTGGGGTAAATACCCATTAGTGCAATTGCTGGGTTGTAGGGTAGCTCTATTTTCAACTTTTTGAGGAACCTCTACTGTTTTCCAGAGTAGCTGCGCCACCTTGCATTCCCACCAATAGCGTAGGAGGGTTCCCCTTTCTCCGCATCCCCACCAACATCTGTCATTTCCTGACTTGTTAATTTTAGCCATTCTGACCGGTGTGAGGTGGTAGCTCATTGAGGTTTTGATTTGGATTTCCCTGATGCCAAGCGATGTTGAGCACTTTTTCATGTGTCTGTTGGCCATTTAGATGTCATCTTTGCAGAAATGTCTGTTCATGTCTTCTGCCCATTTCTTGATTGGATTCTTTGTTCTTTGGGTGTTGAGTTTGATTAAGTTCTTTATAGATTTTGGATTAAAGATTTTATTCTTAAGTAACCTCTACACCCAACATGGGGCTCCAACCTACAACCCTGAGATCAAGAGTTGCACGCTCTACCGACTGAGCCAGCCAGGCGCCCCAGGGTTGGTTCCTTCTGATAGATCTGAGCCTCTCTCCCAGCTTCTGCTGATTGCCTACAATCTCTGGTGCTTCTTGGCGTGTAGACACAGCACTCCACCTCTGCCTCTGTCTTCACGTGGTATGCTGCCTCTGTCCCTGTGTCTTCACATGGCTGTCCTCTCTGTATCCCTCTCCGCTTCTTTATAGGAACACCTGTATTGTGTTAAGGCTCTAACCTACTCCAGTATGACCTCATCTTGACTAATTACAGTTGTAATGACCCTATTGCCAAATAAGGTCACCTTCTGGGGTAGTGGGGTTAGGACTTCAACATAGCTTTCTAGGGGGCACAGTTCAACCCATAATACACAGGGTCTCCTGTGAGACTGCTCACCGTGGGCAGTGCTAGGCTTTCTCCGCTGAGCCCCCTGCCCTGGCCCTTGCCAAAGAGAAGCACAAGTTCTCCAGGATTTGCCAGAAACTTAGCAGGCAAAAGTCAGCTTTGCTTTCGCTTGCCTCACAGACTTGCTGCTTTTACTTTATTTTGGCTTCTGTGGATTTCTTTCCTTATATCAAGTCAGCACTACAACTCAGAAAAATTTAAAAATGAACTTACATTTCATCTAGCTTCCCCCCTCATTTCAATAAGGAGCATGGCCTGGGAACTTAGTTTGCCAAGCCAATCACCGGTTTGTATCCATCCTTGCTCGCCTGACGCTGCGCCTCTGTCCTGGCAGGCCCTTCATGTTAAATGTCCGCCCACCCCAACCAAACCCTGGGTCTCCCCCTAAGCCTGGAGCCCACTCTTCCTCTGCCTGAGGTGGTGCAGCCAGGTGGTCATAATGCAGGCGTCTAGTTCCAAAGCCCCATGCCCTTAGCCTCAGGCAAGATGCCAAGGCAAGGGGCATGCCTTGAGGTAGGGTCTCCCTTCGGAGTGGCACTCCCCACCGCCTGGATTTTCCAGTGTGTAAAATGGGGATTTTAAAAAGCTATGTGCCACCCTGAGCACAATGAATGCTCAACAAGGCCAGCCGTGTTCATCAAGGTGCATCCGTTCTCACTTGGCCAGCAGCCCACCCTCTGGCGGGAGGGGTCCAATCTGGATTAGTAGCAGATGGTGTCCTTGAGGAATGGAGTAGCCCAGGGAAGTTCCCCTAAGGGGACACAGTAAGAGGAGACCTCCCAGAGTCCCTCAGACACCCCCACACATGTCTGTGTCTCAGGGAACATCTACCATTATGTGCCCTGGTACAACACCAAGCCAGTCGTGGCCGTGACCTCCCACTGGGAAGATGTCAGCTTCCGCATGAACTGCCTCAACCTCCTGCACTTCACTCGGGACCGCCTGGTGAGTGGTACAGGAGGGTGCAGGGGTGGGGCCGGGCCACCGATGGGAGGCTTGGGGGACTAAATCACAGTCCTAGGGAGCCAGTCACTCAGTTCACTCATGCACTCCACACCAATGAAGACAGAAGCATCAGGCACCGTGCTAGACACTGAAGACCCAAAGCTGAATAAACACAGCGCTTAGCCTCACCATCTGGGAAGTACGGATATACTATACGGAAATAGCTACTGCAGGACACAGGGCCGGAGATACAGTACCCAGAGCCATGGGGGGCAGCAAGATTGGGGATGGGGGAGGGGAGCTGAAGAGAGGATAATCAGAGGAGGTGTTTGAAAAGGAGGTGACATTTGAGCAGAGTCTTGAAGAATGAGTCTGCTGGGGGCGTGGTGGGGGTGCAGAGAAGGGGGTGCAGAATTGGCAAAGCCATGGTGACATGAAGTTCCAGGAGAGCAAGGGCATGGAGGTGATGTGGAAATAAAGCCAGAGAAACTGGAAGAGGTCAGATCACAAAAGGTCTTATGCATCTGCTAAGGAGGGAAGTCACTGAACATTTTTAGGCAGGAATGCCACATGGTGCCTCCACCTTAGATATGACTTTTTTGCACCTACAGAAGAGAAGCCCTGGGTCAAAACTGTGTACCCCTCACAGTTCTGCCCTATCCTGGCTCCTTCCTGCCACTTATTCTGTTGGGTAGTGGAGAGGGTGTGTGGGGATCCTAACCTTGCAAGGGCATGTAATAGCTTTGGACTGACATCCTCGGGTTACCCCAAAGACCCCCAAGTCCTGACTGATAACATCTCGGGCCAGTCATTCCTGTAACCTGTCCTGGGTGAGCCCCCATGCGCACTTGCTGTTTCTCTCCTGCCGAGCAGAAAGCCAATCTGGACACCCTGAAGTCCATAAGGAATCCAAGGGACCCTGCTCTGCTCCCCCAGTGGGAGAAGCTGCTGAGGGAGCTGGTGGAGGACTGCAAGTAGGGGAGGAGCGTGCTGCCCTGGGGCTGGGGCTGAGCTAGGTCAGGCTCCCACGGGGTGGGGATGCAGACCAGCACCTTACAGAACAGCCCCCAACCCCCACCTCCTCAAGAAAGGAGCTCCGCTCAAATCTCTCCCCAGCTCGAAGCCCAAACCACAGAGCTGCTTCTCCTCCCCTGTTCAGGCCCTCCAGAAACTGGCCCTGACCTCCCCGCCTAGCCTCGTCCCAGCTGTCCCTACACCCACGCCTGATGCTCCCACCAAACCAAACCTCTCCCTGTCATCCTGACAAGCCCTGCACATCCTGGCCCGCAGCTTTTTCCCTGCTGCTCCTCCTGTCCACAGTGCCCTCCACAGGGCTCTGCCTGTTCTGGAAGATTCATCATAAGGCCTCTCCCAGCCCCATAGCCCCTAGGGTTTGGTTGGCCCCTATCTCAGGGCTCTCACCACCTCCACAAGGAGCTCCTTGAGCACAGGCCTGGCACACCGCGTGGGGCTGGAAGGGTGGGAGGGGGGTGCATGAGAACCCAGAGGCCAGGCCAACAGGGGCGGGGCAGGAATTCAAGTCTAGGAAGTGCACATTGGCCTAAGGCAGGGCGGGAGGTCATGTGAGGTGAGGCGGAGAGAGGCCCAGCGCCCTCCTTCCTGATCCTGGCCACAGACACCCTCTGCCCTGCATGACCCATCAGCCCAGAGCCACCGAGCTGGACAAGAAGAGGTGGAAGCTCCGCAGCCTCCTCCTGCAGGAACTGGCCCAAAAGGCCAAGGAAGTTAAGCCCAGGAACATGGTGGCCACCGTGGAGGACTGGCTGTACCGCCTCGATGCCGTGCTCCCCGAGGTGGGTGCTGGACACACTGGTGGGGGAGGAGGACTTGAAGCCAGCCACGCAGGCCTGACGCCCTCCCGCCTCAACAGCCCCAGATGAGCCTCCCGGACGTGATGATCTGGCTGATGTCCAAGGAGCAGCGGGTGGCCTACGCACAGGTGCCTGCCCACAGCGTCCTGTTCTCCCCAACAGGGGCTCTGCATTCTGGCAGGTTCTGTGGGAAGACACAGACCCTCATCCTGCAGGTGGGGAAGGCAGGCCACCCCACTCCTCAGGGGAGGAAAGGGCCCAGAAATACCCCAAGGGAGAAACCCTGAACTCTTGGGGCAGCCCCCATGGGTCTCCCTGAGGGCACACCCACTTTGTCTCTCCTGGGCCCTTTAACAGGTGAAATGGGGTTGAAACAGTCTCCAGAGAAAGGCAGGGACAGTGCCCATCATCATGTGGTTGATGCCAAGTCCACATCCCTCCTAAATGTTCCTCAAATTCATTTCTTCCGTCATCCTCACACCACACTTGGTCCAGTCCCTTGTCATCTCTCCCCTGAACCAGGATTGAGTGCTTTTCAAATATTTAATGCCTACAAGGCCTGGGCGCCAGCCCATCATATCAGATGCAGGCCATAAATAAGGCTGGTTGACCAGCACCCCCACCCTGGTGACAGCCCCTCCTTTCAGTCTTCCCCCCAACCCAGGGGGCAGGTGGGGGACACTCCCTTGCTCTTAAAGATGTCCTTCATTCCCCAGTGTTTCCCGGAGAATGCCAAACCTCCCTGGCCTGGCCCCAGCCCCTTCTCACTGCAGTAACCTTCTCAGGGCCACACACTCTCAACAGCCAAGCCACCCTGGGCTTCCCCACCCCCAAACCTGCCTGCCCTGGGCCCTTTCCACCATTGTGGAAGGTCCCTCCTATGCCCGCTGAAGTCTTTCTCATCCTGCAAAAACCACTGAGACTTGACTCCTGGCTCTACCACTCAGTGGTCTGTGTGACCCCAGACCAACCCTTGACCATGTCCAGGCCTCAGTCTGCTCTCTGTAAAATGGGCCTTGTGAAAATGATGTGCACCCCCCCCCCCACCCATGTGAGGATCAGAGCGTATCCTGCACATTTGGCACTTACCTTGTCAATGTCACCACCATCACCACGTCTCTTTGAAGGCTTCCCAGTCTCCCTGGGTGGCACCGCCCCTCTCCCCACAAACCCCACCAGCCTCTGTTATGCGTGGGGTCACAGGTATACCATTTGCATATTATCTCCCTCCGGAAAGCAGGAACTCTGCATCGTTCACTTTAAGCCCCAGCACCCAGGGCTCGGTGTGAAGTAGCAGGTGTATGTGCCCCTCCCTCACCCATGCCCCTGCCCCCTGGGGGGGACGTGCACCCCTGTGGGGTCGCCCTGCCTCTGGTTTAGTACCCAGAGGGTGAAGGACAGAAGGACACGCCGCCGGCCCACCTCCGGGTCTGCATGTGGCTCGGCAATGTCACGGACAGCAAGGATCTGCAGCTGCTGCGCCAGGGCGAGGTTGTCGTTTACGCGGAGACGGTGAGCAGCTCCCGGGGGGCAGCAGGGGGAAGGCCGGGCTGCCAGAGCCCAGCACCAAAGGTAGAGAAGACCGTTAACCAGCAGAATCTGACGATTATGCAATGGGCTTTGATAAAGAGAGGTGGCAGAGCCTAGAGCAGCCTCAGATGTTAACAAGCCATAGGCACGTGGTGATAAAAGGGGCAGCTGGGTGATCCCTTAGGGCCAGTCACTCTCTCCCTGATGGAGCTTCATGGGGAGTTTCTCCCAGTTACTTCAGGGCATGTGAGGTGAGGTCTCATCTGTCGCCAACATGGCAGCCTACGACCCCTGCAGACTCCAGCTGGGTCCTCCAGGCCAGTCTGGTGGTTCTGGGGAGGGAGGGTCCTGGAACATTCAGAGGAGCAGGAAGTGAGGCATCTTCCCAGAAAACCACAGACGCAGGGCGTGGGTGAGCAGCCAGTCAGAGACTGCTATAGAACCAGAGGAGGGAAAGATGACCCTTGCTGCCTGGGGGAGGACGTGGCTCAGGAGAAGGCTCCGAGAGCAGAGGGAAAGAAGTTTGAGAATTTTCAGCTTTTTAATTTACTGAGTCAAAAATAAATTTTTGTGGTTCCAAAGTTGCACACTGTGCATGGATATATCCTAACATGCGTAACCAGCCCCTACGTAGGTCTTGGGGACGTGAGATGAGAGGGGATTTAGGATGAAGTGCAGGCAGCAGGGGCTGCACGTCCAGCAGGGGGATGTGGGGGGAAAGGCTCAGAGGCAGCAAAGATGTGGCAAGTGGTGGAGAGCACTGGGTTCCCCGAGTCAGCAGCGACAAGGCTAACAGACTGCTCTGCAGCACCCACCCCGCCCCCCACAGGCTCTAACACAGGCATCTGCCTGCTCTACCCTTCAATGGCTAAGCACCCTGGGGTAGAGTTGACCTCTGAGCCTCAGTCTCCCCACCTGTGAAATGGAACTGTGAGGATTACAGGGGACCGTTCACATAAAACTCTAGGCATGGGCCTGGCCTGAGGTGGGGATTTGATGAACAGCATCCTCCTGTCCTACCCGAGTGCCGCTGGGGAGAAGTGCTGCCTGTGATAAGCTCCTGGTCCCTTCTTGCCTGACTAACACACTTCCAAAAGGTCCCTGCAGCCCAGAGTAGGGGGCCCAAGGAGAGGCCCAATGTCCCAGTGTGGTTGGGGGGGAGCGGTGCGAGGCACTGACAGCCGCCCCTCCCCCAGTACGAGAACCAGGCCAAGTATAAAGACCAGTGGGGACAGCAGGGGCTGTACCGCTGCCCCAACTTCTCGGACGTCACGGGGCACAAGGCTGTCCCCAAGGAGGATTTCCAGGTGCCCCAAGGATGGCACTGGCAGGGGCAGTGGACAGTGGAGCCTCAGAGGAGGTAAGGCTAGGGTGCGGGCCCGGAGTCTGTGTGCCCCTGGACATGCAGCACTGGGGTGGACTGTTCTTTTCACCCGGGAGAGCCAGTTAGCCGCAGCCCAGGGAGGTGGGCCCTTGGCCACGGTGGCCTGCTCCCAAGCGGCTGGGGTGCCTAAGGCGAAGGGCCCTGCCCACCACACTGCCCTGGATGCCAAGCCCCACTGCCCAGCCTTGCCCAGAGCAGGTGGGGCTGCCAGGTAGGGGAACACTGGGCCAGCAGAGGACAACCCGGGAGCCTGAAAGTTCGGGGAGATGTGCTGGAAACTTGGGGTCTCACTGCCCCCAGACTCCTCCTGGACGTAGACATCAACAAGAGCCAGGTGCTAGAGGAGGTGTATGAGAACCAGTGTCGAGACATCACGGGGAACTGGGTGCGGGCAGCCATCCCGAACACAGATGTGGTAAGCAGGGGCTAAAGCAGCCTCGGGAGGGGGGGGACAAGCAGTGCACACAGGTGGGTGCCCTGTAAGCTGGGTTGTCCGTGGGAAGAGCACCAGACCAAGGGTTACCATCTGAGCCCTGCCCGCCACACGCTGCGCAGGAGCCTGAGTGCGCACTGATGGCGTTAGTACCCTAAGATGGCAGGTAGAGGTACCTTCAAAGACTGTAAGGAACAATGTAGGGGGGGCAGTGTTTCCTTCTTAGGCTTCTTCCAAAGGTAGTGCTTACCCAGAAGGAGAGAATCTGGGGCTAGTCTAAGCCCACACCGTCTGAGAGAACTTTCTGTGATGATGGAAATGTTCTGTGTCCGCACTGTCCACCTATCGAGTACTTGAAATGTACTTGTGAGACTGAGGAACTGAACTTTGGATTTTGTTTCATTTTATTTTTTTTTTAAAGATTTTATTTATTTATTTGAGAGAGTGTGAAGGACAGAGGGAGAGGGAGAAGCCGACTCCCCGCTGAGTAGGGAGGCACCGTGGCCATGGTAGTTGAGTGAAGGTGGCCTCCCAGCACAGATGCCCCTGGCCTGCCCTGTCTGTCCACCCTCAGAACGGAGAGCCCGTGGAGGCCCGGGAGAACGTGAAGTGCCCCCAAGGCTGGCACGTTAAGGAGAACTGGATCGTGGAGCTGAACCACGCGGTGGACAGTGAGGGTCAGTCCTCTGGTCACGGGCTGAGGGAAGGAGGCTCTGGAGCTCCCAGGGACTGGCACTTCCCACAGCCTCAAAGCAACCAAGCTCTCAGGTGGGATGGGCCTGAATTTCCAGGGGTCGCCCAGCCTCTGGGCAGTGGGGTCTCCACCCTTTCTATAGACATGGGCCCCAGTTTTCAGACCGGGCAGGTTGTAAGTGCCTCCTGAGCACTTTCTAGAAGGGGGAAAATGGTCACGGAGCCTGGGTTCCCCTGAGGTAGTAGCTCCAGGGAAGGAGTGATGGGCTGGAAGTCCGAAGACCTGGGCTCAAGACGTTGAGTCTGCTACATATGGGCTGCGTGACCTTGTGTGGGTCACAGGACATCTCTGAGCCCTGCCTTCCTCACGTGCAAGATGGGTGGTTGGGCCCAAGCCACCCTGGTGAGCACACCATCCTTTCCACAACTCAGGGCCTGAGACACCTGGACGTGAGGGAAAGCATTTCCCCTTTAGCCTGCCTTCTGGGGCCCATCTCTCAGGCCTGTCCACACCTCCCAGCCCATGGGCACCTGGGCACCCACAGGCCGTGGCCCTGCCTCTGCAGGCTGGGAATATGGAGTGGGGATCGAGCCGTCGGGCCAACCCCGGGTCTGGAACTCAGTGGAGAAGACCTACTACTCGTGCCGCCGGCGGCGCTGGGTGCGTTTGCGCTGCCGGAACCATGGGAAGCTGAGCCTGGAGCAGGAGACTCTCTCCTTCCTGCAGCTGGTGAGAGGACTGCTTGGGTGGGTACCCCCACCCCCACCCCGTGCCATGGTGGGAGGGTGACATTCTGCTCCCCTCCCCGCAGCACCGCGCCAGCCCAGCCGAGGAGGAGGAGGGCTGGGAGTATGGTACCTTCGGCTCCAAGTTCCACCTGAACCCTCAGCCCCAGAGCCGGTTCCGCCGCCGCTGCTGGCACCGCAGGATGGTCCTGAACAAGGACAAGGGCATTGCACCCATATTCCTCCTGGAGGGATCCTTGGTAAAGCCTCCGTGGTCTAGGTGACTCCTCCTTGCAACCCCACCTCCCAGAGCCGGGGCCCAGCTGCGGTGTGGCAGACAGCAGGAGACACCCCTGGTTGGGGCACTGATGGCTGAGGGGTGGGGGAGGGTGTGCCCTAGATCCACACCCTCGGCCTATAAGGGAAGGGTGACCTGGGCCTGCACTAGAGGAGACAAGAAAAGCACCCAAGAGCTCAGGGAGAATGTCCTGGGCACAGGGTATGGATCTGAAAGAGCAGGCTAGGAAGGAAGAGAATAAGAGGCTAACACAGGCTCCAGACAAAACAATCAGGAGCTCCTGGAGGCCTGCCCCAGAGGAGACCCAGCTACATGACCTACCCTTCATCTACTGCATCTTCAACAGTAAGCTTTGAGAGTCTGCTTGGTGGCCCCAGAGACCCTGCATCTGAGGGCAGGCTGTGGGGAGGGGCCAGTGTCGGGATCCTGGGGGCAACTGATGGACGAGGCTCCTCTCTTACCCAGAGCCCCACTACTACCAGCTTTTCTGCTACATCTACCAAGCCCGGAACCTAATGTCCAACCAGATCCAGACATTCCGGGGTAGGCAACAGGTACCCCTTTCTGCCCAAGCCTCTGGGGTCCCCTGATGTGGCCACCCAGCAGCATAAAGAATATGACAAGGAAGGGGGTGACAAGCCTGCAGACCCCTCTCCCCAGCACCTCAGGGCCCTGGCTTGGGGAAAAGATAAAATCAAGGAGTATAAGGTGGGGCTGTTCTTGAGATGTGTGCCCAACACTGTGGAATCAAGAAGGGGGAGTTGGGGAGGCTTCACCCTGGCAGTGAAGAGGGAGGAGTTTTCTGGCAGAGTACTGATGAGACAGGAAGACAAAAGAAAGGGTGACACACACTGGGACCGCATGTCCCTTGTGTCAGAAGATGAGAGGTGTGGAGGAGGGCCCGTGAAGGTTTCAGGAGAGTCGTGTGCTCCTATGGGTAGCCCTGTTCGTAAGGAGCAGGTGGCCAGATGAGGCTCTGAGCCAGGGCAGCGGGTGTCTGCCAGGAGCTGTGTCCACTGGGCATCAGTGTCCACATTGAGAAGGCCACATGATGTCCCCTGGCGCCACAGCCACTCACTGATGCTGTGGAAGGGCAGGCACGTGTAGCTGCTCCTCAGAACTCCTCCAGAGAAGCCACGGGGCCTCCACCCCTGGGACCCCCAGACCTCAACTAGGTGGTGTCAGAGAGATGTGGATGGAACCAATGGTCCCATGGCCATTGGCTCTGCAGCTTGCACTGAGGTGGCCTTCTGGGCAGTGGCTGTGGTTGCCCAGCCTGGGCTTGCCTGGATCTCTGGTCCAGTGGTTGGTGGCAGCTGCCGGGGGGAACACCTCGCTTGATAGCTCAGTGGCAGGACCCTCTCCTCTCCTTCTGCCCACCCCCCAGTGCCCTTCATCCGGTTGGTCTTCTTGAACCATAGCCAGTGCACCCAACCCCTGAAGAGCTCTGCGGCCCCCACGTGGGCCCAGACGCTCATTTTCCAGCACCTTCTTCTGTACGAGAACCCCGAAGACACCAAAGCAAGCCCACCACTCGTGGTGTTGGAACTGTGGCAGCAGGACTCCCAGGTACAGTGGGCTGGAGTGGGCAGAGTGGCTGAGTTTTTATTTTAGAGGAGAATATACCACAAGTGCTCCAGTGGGGCCTGATTCACAGAGAGCATCACGTCGACATAAATGCCAGCCTGTATCTGAGAGTTGTCAGCAGCCCGGGGGAGGGGCCAGGACCCTGCCAGCTTGGCCTCCGTGTCTGGTGAACTTCCCCTTCCCTGCAGGGAAAGGAGAGCTTGTGGGCCCGGAGCATGTGGTCCCCGGTGGTCTGGCTGGATGTCCGAAAACGGACCCTGCCCCCTCTGAGGTGGCACCCCCTTGTAAAACTGCTAGGGGAGAAAGATGGCGAGATCCTGGCATCCTGTGAGCTGATCCTCGAGACTGAGGTACCAGGAGAGAGGGCCCGGCTGGCGGCTGCAGTGCTGGGGTGGGGGGGCGCCCTGCCCTACTCCCCTGCCTCAAGTTCCCACCAGCAGCAGTCCCCAACCCCACCCCCTCAGGGAAGGCCTGGGGCCTGGGAGCCAGCACACTGAGCTTGGGGATACCGGACTGCCCAAGCTCTCCCTAACCGCCCTGCCTGCTGCCGCCCACGGGGCTCCGGAGCCTCCTCCCTGGAGCCCTGCTAGGGACTTGATTTGGGGGTGGGGAGTAGGAGGACAAGCCCACTAGGGCTTTATGCTCCCTGCTGACCCACCTCGCCCCTTCCCTTCAGAGTGTCAAAGAGAGGCCGCCAATCTTAAGTGTTCCATGGAAGAATGGAGTCTACACGCTCCCCAAGAGCATCCAGCCCACACTAAAGAAAATGGCTGTGGAGGTGATGATGGTGGGGGGCGGGGAGGGCGGGCACCCTCCAGAGCAGTCGGGTGCCGCGGGGCTCTCTCTGCGGACTCTCCTTGGGCCCTCCTGACTACCTGATCCAAAGCTCAGACCCCAGGAAGATAATGTCTGAGAGATGGAGGGAGACAGCAGAGACATAAAGAGCAGAAGCTCTGATAGAGTAACTGTCTTAAATGCAGATCTCCGTGGTGGGTCGTAGACCAAGGGCTTCAGTGTTCACTGTTTCACTTGAGCCCCTCGCTGCCCCTCTGCAGTGGGGGCCATTTTTCAGATGAGAAAACTGAGACTCTGAGAGACAAGCTAACCCAGGCACCGTGACACAGGGAAAGTGGCAGAGCCAGAATCTGGGCCCGGCCCTGCCTAACTCCAAATGCCAGGATGTCTCTTACCTATCTTTTGACTGTAGGCTGGAGGTCCCCACATTGAATCTTTGTGCTCTGCCACAAATCTGGCAAAGAGCAAAAGACGGTCAGGTCCTCCTGGCTCTGGAGATGCCCCCTAAGATCAGGTAACCCCACTCTGGTCCCCCAAACAGGCCTCCGTGAGTAAGAGCATGGACATTTCCTGGGGTGCCCAGTGTCCATCTGTTGAGGGCACCGAATGACCACGGAGTTCTATGGGATCCAAGTCAGCAATAAACTAGATAGCAACAGGGATGCCCGAGAAATCTGGGGCACCCCCGACTTCTGTGGGCCTTCGAGGCGGTCAGCCTCAGGAACCCCCTCCTGAAGACCGCAGGCCAGACAAAGCAGCAGGGGAGGAAGGGCAATACCTCAGGGGCCCTGGAGGCCAGCAAAGGATATTCACAGTAGCCAGAGGGCACTCTCTCATGGAGGCCTTGGGGGACAAGCACTGATTCCCTCACGGGACAGGAGACCTGTGCTAGCCTTCAGCCTCTAACTTCGTCCAGCTCCTTCCCTGGGCCCAGATGCTCCCTGATATACCATCACTCCCAGGACAGCCCCCTCACTATGGCCAGCACCCCACTACAGAGGCCCCAGCTGCCCCTTGCCCTACCCCTCCTCTGTTCTGGCAGATTCTGGTCTGGGGCCTTCGGAACATGAAGCAGGTGCGTTCCCCCCAGCTCCTGGTAGAATGCTGGGAAGAGTCCCTGCAGACAGAACCCATCAAGGACTTCCAGACCAACCCTAACTTTGCCCAGTCAGTCCTCTTCCTCACACTGGTAAGGCAGCCAAGGGCAGAGCAGGGGCTGGGGCAGCCCTTTCCTCCCAGGAGGCCTCATGCTCTGCCTCTCCTTGGGGCTGCAGTTCATGCCTATGGAGGAGGCCTACGCGCCACCCCTCACGTTGAAGGTGGTGGACAATCAGGACTTCGGCCAGCAAACCGTGGTGGGTCAGGCCAACATCCACTCCCTACAACCCTACTTCTGTGACCCCTGGGCTAAGGACTACATGCCTCCACAGCTTCCAAGTACGGCCCTTTCTCCCTGCCCTTCCCCAGGCCTCACCTTCATGCTGGCACTGGGAGCGGGGGTGGCCCTGGCTGTGCTATGGGCAGGTGGCCTCCTCCTCTCTCTTCTCCCTCTCCTGAGCTTCATGATTGCTCTTTGTCCACACAGTGCTGTCCATGAACAAGTACCAGAAGGTGAGTAAAGGGCTTGGGGTCTCTACCTTCTCCCACGCCATTTACAGGAGACAACCCTTATTCCTGAGGAGGGGTGGAGATGAAGCAGAGTTCTGATATGTGGGCTCCCGGTGCACACGAGAACTCTAAGCCATGATTCTCCACCCGGACTGCCCACTGGAACTGTCTGAGAGTTTAAAGAAATCCTGATGGCCAGGCCACTGACCAATCCTATTGGGATTGCCAGGGAATCAGCAGTATTTCCAAGCCCCCACCCCTCTCTGGTGATTCCAGTGTTTCCAAGGTTCAGAACTACTCCTTGAGAGCAGCACTTGTCCAACTGGAAAGCCCAGGAATCCTGGGGACAGCTTGAGCAAAAGCAGGTTCTGATTTAGTAGGCCTGGGGTGGGGCCTGAGGTTCCACATTTCTGGGCCCTTCCAGAGTTCCTCTGTAGCTGTGTGCAAGGAGGGTAAGAAGTAAGTTTAGCCTCCTTCTGGTTCCTAATGCCATGTGTGCTGATCCCTGAATTGAAAGGGCTCTGTGAAGAGCAAGGGAAGCAGGAAAGGAAGCCCTGCCCTCCATCCCTTTCTCCTGGGGGTTCAGAGATGGTGAGCAGGCTAGGTCAGCACATCGTGCCTCACCCTGTTCTCCTGCTCTCATTTTTCAGTTCCTAGATTACCTCTATGAAAAGTTCTGGTCCAATCCCAGCAAAGCCCAGGTGATGTAGGCTCAGCCCTAGGGGAATAAGGAACAACTCCGGGTAGCTCAGGGAAGTGGTGGGGGGGGGGCGCTGCTGTGCCTTCTCCCTGAGGGCCAGAATGACAGAATGACCTTCCCTGCCAGCCTGAATACGAGCATGAAGTGGACTGGTGGAGCAAGCTGTTCTGGGCCACAGGAGATGCTAAGTCCCTGCAGTACAAGTACAAAGACTACCATACCCTGCAGGTTTGGAGGCTTCTAGGAGAGGAGATTGCTAAGAAACACAGAATAAAATCTGCTGGGGGAGACTAGCAGACCTCGCCCTGACGCCTCTAGAAGCGACTGGGGTGGGGGGTGGGAGGTAGTTTCCTCCTCATCTCCCCAAGACTCCAGGCCACACCTCCAGCAGACATGCCCTTCTGGGAACCAGGGCTGCCCCATCTGCTGCAAGCAGTGCTGACCCTGGGGCCACTGACCAGGCAGACACTGCAAAGCAAGACCTGGGAACTGGTGGTCCCTCAACCCCCTGACGGCAGGAACGGTCCCTCCCTCTGGCTGAGCCCATGCCTGCTTTCCCCACCGGCCTGGGCCCCACACACCCCCCTGCAGGTGTATGACTGTGAGCTGGAGGCTGTGCCTGCCTTTGAAGGCCTGCAGGACTTCTGCCAGACCTTCAAACTCTACCAGGAAGAGCCCAAGTTGGACAGCCCTGTGGTAGGGGAGTTCAAGGTGCGTGTTCACCCCTGCGGAGCTGCCCCCGTCTCCCGTGCCCCTTCTGTCCCCGGAAGACTCTCATAAAAGCCCTGGCTCTCTATGCTCATGGTGGGGATGGGGTAGGGAGGGCTTGAAAACCAGTGTGGGGAGCAGGGGACCAGAGGCTGACTGATGCAGGGGTTCAGAGTGACCTCCCCCCTTACACGGGATGGGCAGGGGACTTCTCACTCCAGCTCAGACCTACGCTGGTCTCCCAAGGCACAAGAACCTTAGAGAACAAGTTCCAACCTGAAGGGATGGACGGGGGTGCAATGAGAGTCTGCATCAGCAGAAACTGGAAACTCACCTAACCACCACAGCTGTTTGCCCAACATCCCTCCTAAACCTGCTGTCCCCGCAGAGCATCTCTGCTGCACCCATCTCTCCCATCCTCAGTGCAGGCCACTCTCTCCTGAGCTTGGCCCAGGGGCACCTCCTGCAGGCCTGGGCCTGCGCTGCCAACATCTTCCCTCTCCAACACACACATAGGGCCTTTTCCGCGTCTACCCCTTTCCTGAGGATCCAAAAGCCCCCAAGCCCCCCCGCCAGTTCTTGGTTTGGCGCGAGAAAGAGGACTTCCCCCAGGAGTGCTTGGTTCGCGTGTACATGGTCCGAGCCATCAACCTGCAGCCCCAAGATCCCAATGGCCTGGTAATGAGCAGCCCCAACCCCGTGGTGTTCATCTCTGGGCCCGCCCAGCCCAGGTGCCTCCCACAACTCACATCAAACCCCAGGGTCCTGGAGCTCCCTCAGGCTATGGATACCCAGCCAGATACCCAGACGGCCACCTCCCCACAGGCTCCCTCTGCTGCCAGGGGCTCATTTCCGCCCCTCCCCCATCCTCCCCAACCAACCTGGACTGACTCTCCATTTCCTGTCACCTCTTCCTATGACTGAACCCCAGTGTGACCCTTATGTGATCCTGAAACTGGGACAGACAAAGATGGGCAACCGGGACAAGTACCAGCCCAACACTCTGAATCCCATCTTCGGCATGTGAGCTGCCCCAACTTCACCCAATCCCATTTCACCACAGCCTCCCACGCTGTGCTAGGAGTAAGCTCCAAAAGGCAAAGACTTCTTCCATTTCTTTCTAACCTCGGAGTTCCTAGTATGGGGTCTCACACACTCTCGGGGCTTGACAGATGGAAGGGTGGTCAGTTCCACCCTCCCTCTCAAACGCTCCACCTGGGAAAGGAGTTCAGGGTCCCACAAGCCAGGCCTGTCAAAAGTTATTTCTAGCCAACCCTGGGGGATAGTTCTTAGCAGGTGACAGCCACCCCAGGCCCTGCTCTCCATATTCACCATGACCAAACAAGGGGCTGAGAAGCTGGACAGGGAGGCCTGCGGACAGCATGGTCTGCAGACTCTGCAGTCTCCAACACCCTCACCCCCAGTATGTTTGAACTGAGCTGCACCATCCCCCTGGAGAAGGACCTAGAGATCCAGCTATATGACTTTGACCTGTTCTCACCTGATGATAAGATTGGAACCACAGTCATTGACCTCGAAAACCGACTCCTGTCTGGCTTTGGAGCCCGTTGTGGGCTCTCCAAATCCTACTGCCAGTGAGTGGACCTGAGGCCGGGCAAGAGGGTAGGGGAGGGGTGGAGGAGGGAGGCCCCAGCTCCCTTGGGGGGAGACTTGCATCCGGGCCTGGGAACCAGGGCCCGAACCTGGCTCCACTCATGCCTCCACCACTGCTCATCCTGCAGCTCAAAGCAGAATGTTCTCTAGGACGCAAACCTTCTCACATTTTCCTCTCCCTTAATTCCACAGCGCAGGGCCCTTTAGGTGGCGGGATCAGATGACCCCAAGCTTCCTCTTGGAACGCCATGCCAAACAGAAAGGGCTGCCTCCACCTCTGTTCAGTCCTGAGGAGGACGCTGTTTTCTACAATGGGAAAAAATTCAAACTGCAAAGCTTTGGTGAGAAGTACAGCACCCTGCCGGAAGGCACAGATCCAGGCCTCTGAAACCAGAGGGCACCTGTCCCATTTTGTCCTTTCCTCCTATAGAGGGCAACCATGTCCACTGTCCAGGCTGGAGGGAGGGGTGGGGAGGGCACCTGCCTGGGAGTTGGGAAGGCTAGTGACATTGTGATTGCCTCCGTCCACCTCCTTCCATCTAGAGGCCATGCCCCCTCCTGTTCATTATTTGGGACCTAAGAAAGAACGCCTTGCACTGTACCTCCTGCACACCCAGGGGCTGGTACCTGAGCATGTGGAGACCCGCACTCTGTACAGCAACAGCCAGCCAGGCATCGACCAGGTAGAAGACCGGAGGGGCTGGGGCGGGAGACAAGGGAGCCCAGCCATCCAGGACACAGCCCGTGACAGAGAGGGGACGAGGAGGCCACGCATTCACACATGTACATGCACAGAAGCCCAGCATGTTCTGCACATGTTCAAAGTGGGAAGTTCTAATGATGTCTCCTAGAATGGAGAAATTCAGAGCTGGAAAAGTCATCTACAAGAAACCTGGGCCATGCATCAGTTGGTGGAAGCACTAAGGCAGCCTACCAGCCAGCGCCAATGCTGCCTTCGTCTTTCCTGAGGGAGGCCGGGGAGGTAGCACCTGGGGTCAGATGTGCAGACATTACAACCCTGGTTGGCCTGTTAATTGCAGGCTGTGTTTTCTCCATGGCAAGGAACCCCAAACAGAAGGAATAAAAATCCCCACAGGCACCCTAATTATCTACCCTCCAGCCACCAGAAGGGCTCGTCTCATTCTCCAAACTTCTCAAGCTGATACCACATTCCAGACAGTTCTCGGCTGAGCACTTTCTAAACCATTCTCATTAAACCTGTTTTCTTAAATGGGGTCAACTTCAAAAGGATAAAATGAGGTCAGACGGTTTGAAATTTTTGTCTACCTTCTGATGTTGGTAGTTCTACTCTTTTATTCTTTTATTTTTTATTTATTTTTTCTTTTATTTTTTTCTTTTATTTTTTTGTCTTCCTTTTTCTCACCATTTTCATCCCTCCTTTCTTATACCTCTGCGCTTGGTGCACAGCCTAATATCCTTAGGATAGGCTTCCACAACATACAGCGCCCTAGACATTTGGACTGGTCACCTAGTTCGCTCTTACTCGGGGCCACTAAGCTGGTTAAGAAGTGAAGCCCCAACCCTACTGTGGAGCTCTGTCCAGAGAGGCAGTCTAGCATGGCCTGCTAAAGGGTATTCACCCTTCAGACCCCAGTCACAAGTCATATCCCAGCACCATGGCCATCAGTCTTGAAGTCATCATACACAGCCCACCTTACCCTGCACCCTTCTTCTAGCCAATACGAGAAAAAAGGGAAGCTGGTGGGTGGTTGCCAGACTTCCTGTCCGAAGTCCACTCCACCTCACCGATACCTCCTTACCCCACCCTCCAGTGAGGCTGGGGTGGGGGGGCCCGGACCCCACCTCAACAGATCTCAGAACCTGGGTCCAGGCTCCCAGGCCAGCATGCTGTGAGAACAGAGGTTGGCAACTCCCAGCCGGCCAACCATTTCCACTCTAGGGAAAGGTGCAAATGTGGGTGGACATCTTCCCCAAGAAGCTTGGGCCTCCTGGCCCCCCAGTCAACATCAAGCCCAGAAAGCCTAAAAGGTGAGTGACCTACCACATCCATCACCGCATTTTCCCAGGCGCAGGCCATGGGTGTGCTCACACGCTAGGGTGCAGCAATTCTTTCCCTCTCCTGGGAATCCTGGGAGCTTCCTTCCCCTGCATTCCCCCAAATTCAGCATGCCTTGTGTGGGCACGCAGGGCAGCCCCCCGGCCCCCTCTTCCTGCACCACGGCTGCAACTGGGGAGCTACTCCTCAGCAAAGCCTCAGAGTCCACTGGCTGCAGGTATGAGCTGCGCTGCATTATCTGGAAGACTGCCCAAGTGGACCTAAAGAGAAGTTTAACTGCCGGGATGAGCGACATCTATGTCAAAGGGTGAGGAAGAGGGCAGGGCTCCGGCAGCATTCCCTCAGCATTCCCCCGTCGTACCCTCCCTGTGCCCCAGGCCCCCAGTCCTGGGGCGACATCTCTTCACCCCTACCTGTGCCTGGTGGTCTGCCGGGGAGCCCTTCCCACAGGGCTCCAGCTCGGGGATGGGGACCATACACATGAAGCCCAGCTGAAAGGCCTTTGGCCCCAGGTGGCTAGTTGGGCTCGAGAAGGACATGCAGAAGACGGATATCCACTACCACTCACTGACTGGGGAGAGCAACTTCAACTGGCGGTTCATCTTCACCATGGATTACCTGGCAGCCGAGCATATGTGTGTCCAGAGCCAGAAGGTAACAGGCCTTTGGGGGCGGGGAGGTTGTGCTCCCCCCCTCCTCAAACCACAAGCTGCCCCAGAACCCTTGAAATGTGGCCTCAGGGAGAAAGCTTCTTCCTTGACAGTCCATCACTGCTGGGTGGTGGGCTACTAAGGCGGCCGAGGGAAATCTCAAAGGAGACAGGCCAGTCATATGGTCTTCTGTCATCCTCCAGGACTACATATGGAGCCTAGACCCCACAGTGATGAAGTTCCCAGCCCGGCTCATCATCCAGATCTGGGACAATAACATGTTCTCCATGGATGACTTCCTAGGTGAGATCAGCCACAGGGCCCACGACCACAGGACAGGGGGCTCCTTCTTGCTGACGCCATTTCTTTGGGCTCAGGGGTCCTGGAGCTGGATTTGTTTGACATGCCCCTCCCGGCCCGGCACGCCAACCTATGCTCCATCAGGATGATGGATACTGACTCCAAGTGGCCCTACTTCCTCCAGTATAAGCACTTCTCCCTTTTTAAGAAGAAGACCGTAACGGGCTGGTGGCCTTCCCAGGTCCTCGATGGTGGCAAATGGCGCATGTCGGTAGGAGCTGGGGAGGGTGTCTATTGCATAGGAGTGCTATGCCACATAACTTGGCTCTAACAGACTTCGGGGGACCTTAGCTAAATCCCTTTTCCTTTCTGGACCCTGGGAAACTGTTCTCGCACCTGCTGTAATGAACTCAGCCTCCCACCGCCTATGGTGTTTCTAGGGTAAGGTGAAGATGACGCTGGAGATTCTGTCAGAGAAGGAAGCCTTAATCAAGCCAGCAGGGCAAGGCCAATCAGAACCCAACCAATACCCTACACTTCATCCTCCCCTGTAAGAGTCCTGCGGGACAAAGGCCCCAAATCTTTCCTCCTCATTCACGAAGCTGAGCTGCCGGGCCCAGCAATTTGTATAGGGTGGTGAGCGGTGGGCCTACAAGTGGCGAGGGGTCATTACTTCCCAGCACCCCACCTCAGTGCTCAGTTACAAGGAGGAGAGAACGGCCTGGGTGAAGGGGCGGGGGGGAGGACACACAAGCAAGCAGAAGTTGCTTTTTAAAAAAAGAAAGCTCTTTGCTGCGGATTACTTGACCTGAAGGTTCCCTCTGCCCTCCATCCTCTGACGAGATGTCTCCTCTGCTCATGGACAGACGCCCCAACACCTTGTTCATGTTGCGGTCACCTGTGACAATCTTCTGCCGCGTTGTCTGGAAACGCTACCACTTCAAAATCATAATCAGTGCAATCGTATTTATTATAGCACTCATGCTGTTCAACTTTATCTATTCGGCACCGGTGAGTGACAACCTTGGGGACAGGGACAAAGGCACTAGTTGCTCTTGGGATGACTCTGAAGAGACAGCCTCAAGCCGCTACCTCAGGCTAACTGTTGCCTATTCTCTCTAGAACTACTTGGCCATGAGCTGGATCAAACCTAAACTTCGGCTGAATGCTCCCATCAAAATATCTGCCAATGTCATGAATCCCCCAACCAGCAGCAGTCCTCACTCTTCCAGCCTCACCAGCCAGCATCAGAACCTAAATTCTACAATAGACCATGAGTTGAAACTCCTCCAGGAACCTATGAATCGCCTGCAAGACATTTTCCCAGAACTTCCAGCCCCACAAGACTAATTGGTCCATGTCTGCCTGGCTTTTCTCCGGCCCATCATCAGCCCTACCCTTGCGCTTCCTACTAGTTCTTGTTTCTATTTTCTAGGACATAGGCAGGGGGCTTCGGGGACATATGCAATGAGGGGCATGTTCTGTTCAGAAACCACTTCCAACAAGGACAGAGCTGTTGTCATTTTCCCATTGAAGTAAACAAATTTTGTCACAGAGAGCCACCTTGTAATTTGGGGGGGTTAAAGAAACCATGAAAGCCAAGACTCACAAGGACAGGGAACGACGTCATCTTTATACACCACCTCTAGTCTTCAGGGTCTCTTCCTCTCTAAGAGGGTCTGAAGTCAGAGGGAAACCGAGGGAAAGGGGGGCTGTGAGGAGAGACATGGCTCATGTGGGGGTAAGCAGCTTGCCAAGGCTGCTGCTCTCACCTCTACTGTGCATGTACAAAAAAGCCTCAAACACAGACCAGACCTCTCCCTCCTCAAGAGCACGCCTGGGATTACAGGGCCCAGAACAGTTATTTGGTCCCATTCACAATGGAAAATACTTGTTTCTAAGAACAAAAAGCAAGAGCTAGGGCAGGACCTACCACGCTCAGTTAGACAGTTTCCTTGCATCACACATTTCTCAAAGGCTGGCCCCATGGTGGGTGGGGACTGCACTTCATGTCTTCCCCGTCCTCTTTCCAAAAGCCACAAGGAGCCCGGGAGCTGGAATCGCACAAAACTCATAAATTCAATCATCACACACACATACCCTCCCCCACGATGAGACCCCTTCCTCCTGCACCACTGCCTGGACCATCTCAAGAGCCCACCGAGGTCCTCCCACCACAGGGGTCTAGCCAATCTCCCCCTGCGCTCAAAAAAGACAAAACAGCCATTTGCTTTGTCAGTTCTAAGTGGTGCTAAGGCCAAGCTCCGGGTCACAGCTTGTGCTCTGGTACCCTGGAGCTGCTCTGCTCTTGTGGGGAAGGTCTTAGGAGGATCCCACTTTACTCTCACCTGCAGGAGAGCACTACAGCATATGATGCTCACTTAAGCACATGGGAGGGACAGAAGAAAGCCCAACACGACAGAAACCTATACCCAGCCAAGGTGACCTTTCCTTCCGGGCTGAGCGGAGGGCTTTCCCAACTGAGAAGAAGGCAAGGCGACGGTTGGCGGGCTTGGGGCTCAGTAAGAAGGCCCAGACCTTCTCCCAAAACCACCCCTAGAAGGAAGGACACCGAATTGGAAGCTCATGTTTGGTTTCCATCAGCCATTTTAAGAATTTCCCTTAGGCTACAGAAGTACATGACTAGGAGAGCTCAGAGCTCCAGGCCCTCCAGGGAGACTGGCCTATTGGCCCATTTAATCACAGGGCAGACAGGTGAGCAGCACATGACCCCTTGTCAGATAAGGCAGTGGAATAAGGATTGACCCACAGAGGAGGACGCTCGGGCTCTGTTGCTCGATGACAATGATCTCTTCCAGGCACAGAGGACGAGGATCCATTGCTCCCAGATTTGCAACAGGAGAACAGCAACTGTTTCTTATCCATTAAGAAAAAGAAGCCAAGTTTCCTCTTTGGGGAGTATCCAAGCCGAGGCTATAAAAAGGAAGCCGCCTCACATTTTGAACACTAGAGTGGGATTCCAAAAGTCATGATAAACACCAAACATGCAGTTCAGCAGGCTCCAGAGTCCAGAAACATCTCCACACATGGTCATATCACATGGCAACTGTTGCTTCTGGTGTCGAAACATGGAGCTGGTCAGTTTCCCAGTTACTCCCCTGGCAACCATGAAGTTGTACAAGCTTCTCTTGACTTGCACACCAACTTTCGGCCAAACCTGACTGAGGGCCTAAAGGAACCAACTGGGAAGGTCACAAACCAACAGAACCAAGATTCACGCTAAAGAACAACGGCTGGAGCAGTGAGCCAAAGCGAAAAGCCCTCTCCCTGTGGCCACCTGACTACGGGTCAGTGAAACATCAGTTTGTTCTGCAGCCCCAGGCTCAAAAAGAGAGGCATCCAGATGTCTCTTCCAGCTCAGGCTGCATGTGGAGAGAGCAATGAGTGGAGGGAGAAGGCAACACAGGGAAGAAGTTTCCATCCAGATTTCCAGGGGAAATTCCTCAGGTGGACAGAGGCTTGGACGAAAAGCAAAACCCGACAAATGGATGCCTGGAAGGTATGAGGAGTTATCCGTGTTGTGTTCTCTGTGGATTTAAAAATGAAGCACAAGGGTCCTCAGAGTCCAACAACAAGGCAGCCTGAGCTATGAAATTCTTTTCTGTGATCTTGGCATCAGAACCATATATATTCTCTCCATCCCTCTTAGCTCCCAAGTAGAAGGACTGCAGGGAAAGGCACATCACAGCAGCACTGCCCTGGGGTAGGTGGGCTTCCGGAACCAGCGAGATGTCCCCATGGATCACCACGGCAATGCAGTATCCCTGCATTCAAAGCTCCAGTGAGAGAACAGAGTCTCTGACCCACTGCTGGAGACTGGAGAAGGCCCGGCTGGCTGGACGCTCGGGCCAGCTCTGGCTCACGGTGACAGCCACAGGGGCGGAAGTAGCGGGAGGGCTCAGTAGAAACGCTTCCGGCTCTGGTCCTGCCACTTGTTGTACAGTATGATACCAATGACAATGGCAAATACGGAAGACACCAGCGAGAAGAAGACGATGAGGAAGAGGGCCAGGCCACTCAGGGGTGGCAACGGGGCACTCACTGAGGAAACAAGAGGGAAGCAAGTCAGAAGCAGGGAGCCCCCCCAGTCGGGAAGGTATCCAAGTCTCCAGTTTCTGACACTCAATTCTGGGAGCCAGAGAGCAGACAGACGCCCCCCTTGCCAGGTGCCTCAATTTAAAAACTGAGCAGCCCTGCTCATCTGTAACATGGAGACCGCTGGAATGGCGGGAGCGCATGCTCCATGCTCTTCAGGGGAAGAACACAGAAAGGAGACGGCCCAGCAGGATGTGGGTGCAAGTCACCTCAGACCTCCCAGGCACAGTGACCTCCTCCCCAAACACAGGACCATTTCCCGGGATCCCCTGCGCTCACCCTCAGGCAGCTTCATGTTGTCCACCGAGGGCAGGAACACATCTCGATGCAGCTTCTCCTCTTCTGGGGTTCTCTCCACCGTCAGCTCAAACAACTTCAGGGAGATGACGTCGTGATTATCTAAAGGGAAAAAGCACCAGGAGGACCCAAACCACCTCAAAAAGAGGAATCTTGGGAGTATCTTGGTTCAAGCTTCTGATCTACAGCTCATCTGCAGTGACTTTGGGTTTTTTTAGAAATTTATTTTATTTTATTTTATTTTTTAAGTAATCTCTCCATCCAGCGTGACGCTTGAACTCATGACCCTGAAATCAAGGGTCAGATGCTGTAGCAACTGAGCCAGCCATGTACCCCACCAGCAGTGACTGAAAAAAATAAGGGAAACCTCTGTTTTCTTTCATCTGAAAATAAGGATAGAGAACAGGGAAGAGTCCACATTACTTAGGATTTAAAGTTTTTATCAACAGGCATGCATTACCGATATAGTTAAAAAACTTAAGACATAATGCAAGCACTGAAGCCCACCTCGTATGTAAAACCTTGGAGCACAGTGAGGGAAAGACACAGTACCACCACTTCCCTTCCATGCGGCTGACACGCTCAAGCAAGATAGGAAAGGGCCTCATGCCAGCTGATTAATGGGCCATGAGCAGGGCATGGCTATTGGCATGGCACACACTTCCCCTCTGGACGATGACTAATTCTCTGCCGCTTCTTGTAACTGTCACCCTGAATCTCACTAAGAATTACTAGAGAAAGGATCAAGGAGTTAGGGACTCCATTTATTTTTCTCTTTTTATTTTTTAAGATTTTATTTATTTGAGAGAGAGAGAGCACAAGCAGGGGGAGGAGTAGAGGGACAAGCGGACTCCCTGCTGAGCAGGGAGCCCAACACAGGGCTCGATCCCAGGACCCCGAGATCATGACCTGAGCTGAAGGCAGACTCTTAACCAACTGAGCCACCCAGGCGCCCCTTTTCTCCTCTCTTATTTTTTTTTAAAGATTTTATTTATTTATTTGACAGTGAGAGAGGGAACACAAGCAGGGGAATGGGAGAGGGAGAAGCAGGCTTCCCGCGGAGCAGGGAGCCCGATGCAGGGCTCGATCCCAGGACCCTGGGATCATGACCCGAGCCGAACGCAGATGCTTAACGACTGAGCCACCCAGGCGCCCCTCTCCTCTCTTTTTAAAGTGTCATTATAATCTCATCGATTCAAACATATCTAATGTGTTTCAAGACATTGAACTTGTACCTCTTATAGATGCTCAACACTACCCATCTTTCTCCAGTGGGAGCCTATTCACGTTGGCTCTTGAACCCTTTTACATGAACCCAGAAGTTTTTGATTATCTTCCTTGCTTTCCTGGGAAGTTCCCAGCTTGTCCATTTCCTACCTCAGACCGGGCATCAGGAAGCTCTTGTTTCCTTTAGCAGGAACTGGTATTAACAGACCACAAATCTGAATGCTAGGGGTGCTCATGGCTACCAGGTTGGTTGCTACAGACTGGATTTCTTGCCATTTATTTTTTTTTTTTTCATTTTAACATATATTTTATTTAACTCAATATATTAAAAGAACTATCATTTGAACATGCAAATGATATAAAAATTATGGATGACATTATTTTTAAGATTTTATTTATTTGAAAGAGAGAGAAAAAAAAACACGAGCAGGGGGAGGGGCAGAGGGAGAAGCAGGCTTCCTGCCGAGCAGGGAGCCCAATGTGGGACTCAATCCCAAGCCCCTGGGATCATGACCTGAGCCGAAGGCAGACGCTTAACCGACTGAGCTACCCAGCTGCCCCACGGATGACATTTTATGTTCATTTTCTAAGTCTTTGAAGCCTGGTGTGTATTCTATATTTATAGCACATGGCAGTTTGGAATGGCCCTATTTCAAGTGTCCAGTAGCCACCTGTAACTAGTCGCTATTATATCGGATAGTGTGGATCTAGATCATTCTTCTAGTTGACTTTTAAGACCTATGTTAGGCCCAAAGGAAATTGTGATCCTCATAGTGCAACACTATAGTGCAAAACAGATTTGCACAGGGCACTTTCTGCCCTTTCTGCTCTCAGCTGAGGAAATCTACTTTGGGGTAATAATTTGGGGACCCCTCAACCATTCATTCCCCGGACTCCTTCCCAACTTGTGTCTTCCTAGCACACTTTGTCTTGACTTCTGGCATAAGAAGAGAGAAACCATATCATGTTCCCACTTTTTTCTTCCTCACACCTAAATAGACATCCTTTGAACCAAGAAATTTAGAATTTTTGTATATGGGGGAAAAATCCATCAATTACTATCTCACGTATTAGGATTATTCCAATTGCAACCTCTGTATGGCTCCAGGCATGGTGCACCAGAAGCCCTGGTACACCATTTCTCTGTGATTCTCTCCATTCTGCCCTCTTCTGTGATCTTCATCCTCCAGCTGGGGGCAAGATGGCTGCCCCAGCTCCAGATAAGTGACCCTCAGTTCCTTCCCAAAAAAGGAAAAGCACTATTTCTATTAGTAGGATGGCATCTACAGCTGCTTGGACTCTTAGAATCTTTAGCAGACTCCAATAGGAAAAAACTAGATTACCTTCAATTAGAAAAATGTTTTTGCTGTCAGGACGGTTTAAGCCATGGGACAAGATTAAAAGCTGGGGCAATGCTCCTCACAATGTAGGGGCATCAAAGGCTGGAAGAACTGGAATGTGTCCTCAGCCATTTTCAACAATCCACTGCATAATAATAAGATGCCAACAGGGCGCCTGGGTGGCTCAGTTGGTTAAGTGTCTGCCTTCAGCTCAAGTCATGATCCCAGGGTCCTGGGATCGAGTCCTACATCGGGCTCCCTGCTCAGTGGGATTCTGCTTCTCCCTCTGCCTCTACCCCTCCCACCTGCTCGTGCTTGCTCTCATGCACACTCTCTCTCTCAAATAAATAAAATCTTGATTAAAAAAAAAGATGCCAACAAAAAAGACCTTAAGAGAAAGACCTAATTTGTATCTAGGGATATGCTACAGGCAGAGAATGGAGACTTACTGATATAGGCATCATCACTAAACATCTAGAGCAAAGGACTCCTTTGGATAAACAAAAATTATTCCATCTCATACTAGCTTTATTCAAAATGAATTATACTAGTCAAAAAACCCAAAAGTTCAGTGCCTTACCTCTTCTCAAAAGAGGTCACGATTAAAGCTCAAGCCAAGGGACAGAATAAACATAGAAGGGGATGCTACAAATCAGGAACAAGTAGGAAGAAAATCCAGAGATAGAAAAGTAAAAGAACCAGGTACTATTAATGCCACATAAATCAAGCAGGAGTTTCAGAGTAACTGGTCAAACCAGCCGAAGAGGACAAAGAGCAAGGACTGAGAGCAGAGGACCAGACGTGGCAAAGAAACAGAAGTAGCTTTGATGAGAGTAGTGCTCACGGCCTGGCCGAGATGCACAGGAGGCCCGAGTGCAGCGGGCTAGAGCGGTGGGCGGCCTGGGCACAGAGGCACCTGTACACACAACACATTCAAAAGTCTGAGCATGAACAGGGCCCGGGGGCGGCGGTTAGAAGGACGGCACAGTCAAGGAATTCAAGGAAAAGCTTTGTTAAGAGAAGGGGAACGCGGCCCATCAGGAGGTGGACGGGAAGAAACCAGACTGCAGAAGGGGCACCAGACGTCGCAAAGCACAGAACTCCAAACACGGGCTAGAGGAGCTGGCCTGATGAAGACGCAGACCCTGCTTTCCATTAGTACCAACCGTCTCCTAGAGCCAACTGCACTAGGAGAGCCTAGGCCCGGGCCGGGGGGGCAGGGGGGGGTGCGGTGCTGAAGGATACCAGAACGCCAGAAGGGAAGCACAGTCTGGGTACTCGCTTCCCACAGCTCTGCTTGTCTGGCTCTCCCCTCTGAGAAGCCTCACTAAGGCCCGGCTCTCGAGACATGACCTCAGTCAGGACAAATAAAGAGTGCACGTGGCAGTACCCGAGAGATCCCCAGTGATGGAGGAGGTGCCAAAGTAGTAGCCCCGGGGCAGACGGACCCCGGGCACCTCGATGCAGTCCCTCCACTCATGCTTGCCGTCAATGTCCATCATTATCTGGAATAAAAAGAAAAGATACATCAGGGCCATGAAAGCAGGTGCAAGGCAGCCCATACCACCAACTGGTCCAGAAAACAAGGACTCACCGTCAAATGCCTCTTGACATAGCGAATCACAAGGAAGGTGTCATAGTGCAGATTGCGGACAATGGCTGTACAGCCCCCCAGCTCTGTAGGCCGCCCATCCCGCTCATGATCATAGCTGAGGGAGCCATTGTTCACCATGGCTGAGATATAGGGGAAGACCCGCTGGGAAGCAGGGAAGGAAGAACAGAGGACAGTAAGGAAGCGCTCTCAGGAACGCCTGTACGAACAGCAACGGGGATTGTGCACGTACAAGCTGAGCCCCTTCCAGCAGACCAGACGACCACTCCGCCTCATCATTAGCGGCCCCTGAGAGCGCACACTCAGACGGTCAAAGGCTATGGCCCAGAAAGCAACTGACCTCTCTACTTGCCTTCAGGAATCCTCCTTGCTACCAACCCGGGTTGGGCCTGAAATGGCCCCTCTGGAGTCTGGACTCGAATCCTTCCACAGATCACTATTTGGCACTCACATCCATACATGGCCCAGGACTGGTGGTTTCCTTTTTCTGTATATATACCTATCTCCCCAGTTGCTATGTAAACTTCTTAAAAGAAAAAAAAATCACTATACTTGTATGTCTCCACCTTCCATCCCCCACAACCTCCCTTCCCCCACCCCCCAAGTAAGCATTTTACACACAGCAGGTACTTTGAAAATACCTGTTTGATCAGGGAAATCTTTCCATTCCGGATAGCTCCTTTCAAATCCTCAAATCCTATAAGCATATGATGGATGCTAAATGGATCAGGACTCAGAAACAGCACTGCCAGAACCAGGCTGCTGGCTGATGTTCTCCAGCCACAAGGACTGTTCTTAGTCGAAAGACCTTCCAGCCCGCTTCAGCTTCACCTACACATAACTTCTCCCCGTAATACGCTGGGCAAGTTCTCCCACTACAAGCTTCCGCATATGCCACCCATCTTCCCACATACTTCGGAGGCCCTGTCTCTCCAATAGAGTTGGAGGAGCGAATTCTTCCTCAGAAAATGATGGGCTAACTATTTAAGAACCAGCCTAGTGCTGAGACAGTGCAGAGGCAGGGTGATGAAAGGACAGGAAACATGACACATGCCACTTCTCTGGTGACTTCCTCATTGTCCTCAACAGTCAACATGCAAGGTGGAGATGCAGTTAAAGTCAGAGACTGGTGACTCTCAAGAAAACAGCCACATGGGTGTAAACAGGAGCAAATGGTAGATGGACACATAGGGAGTAAGGCATGGCCATGGTGGGTCAAGACTGAGTACCTGGACGCCTGGAGAATATCGCCTCTTCTGGGCCTGAGAGGGTCCAGCAGGTTATTATAAAAACGAGAGGGGACACAGAAGACAGGAGACCAGGTCAGAAAGAAACAGCCGTGGAAGAGCTTTGACCCAGCTGTGGTGGATGAGCAAACCGATCTAAATCCCCAAACAGAACTATAGGATCGTGGAGGGCATTTAGCAAGTCCTCACAGCCCTCAAAATTACAGGCAAAACTATGTGCACAGATGCTTGTATGTTTTCTAAGGAGAGGGTCTGTTACTACCCGATTCTCAAAGGGGCCCACTAGGAAAACCTCTCTAAGGCTTTCAGAGACTTCATAAAACACACAGTGTTACACTGTCCAAGAAGGCCCCACTTCGCTTATGTCTCTGAGTCAGAAGGCCAGGCCACTTGTTTTGTCTGTACCCAGACAATAGTATTTCGGTAGCAAGGGGAGACACAGGACTGACAAATAGGGCTAAATTCTTCCAAATTCAAGATGGCGTTTACTGCCCAGGATCTCAGCATAAGCTCTTGCCCAAAGGATAAAAATCCCACCACTTGAGAGACAATAAAGTTAACTCTAATCCAAAGGGATCATTTACCCTCCAATTGAACCTTATGGACATATATTTCCAAATAGCTGTTGTCATTCTAACCTACTACATGTGGGCAAGGAAAAAGCTCCGTGGGAACACTGCAGCATGGCAGATTTAGCAAAATCATGAGGCTCAAGGATATTTAGCTTTGACTACTGCTACAGTTCTAAGCTACTAGCAACAAGAGATACCTACACAAGCTCAGAAATGAGATATGGGAAGGGTATGTAAGGGTAGAGAGCCCAAAACATTCCTTCTTCTATCAGTGAGCACCTATTAGGAGCCAGGCACTGTTCCACATGCTGGGGGCTCATAGAGCTGACATCAGAATGGAAGAGACAAACAATAAGCAAGTAAATAAAATTCTTTCACAGAGAGGTGCCTGGCTGGCTTAGTCGGAAAAGCATGCCACTTTTGATCTCAGGGTCGTGAGTTCGAACCCCATGTTGGGTACAAAGACTACCCAAATAAATAAAACTTAAAAAAAAATTATTTCAGAGTACTAATGCTCTGATGAAAATAAAACAGGTAACATGATAAACTGATGAGGGAACAGCTCTCGAGGAGACAACATCTGAGCTGAGGCCTCCATCGTTGGAGGGAGCCACCAGAAGATCTGTGGGCGTAAGAAGCATGAGGTCGGCCATATTCGAGGACCAGAAGGAGACACCAGTGTCTGAAACACAGCCGGTAAGGGAGAGGTGGGTGTGAGCTTCGGCACAAGTAGGATTCCACAGTGAGGAGTGCAGGGCAAGCCTCAGAGCAGCCGCCCCACTGCTCTGTTCCTATGCCACTGGTGGAATATGCATAGGATTACAGAAGGGGACGAAATGAATCAGTAGATGATCCAATTCCCAACACTCCTCTTCTACAACTATCATTTAGAGCAAGGGAATTTTTAGTCTGCTGTCAAGCAATGTGCAGAAATGGGCTTCTGACAAGAATGTGTGTAACTTCAGTGAACAATTAGGGAAAAGAAGGGATTAAAAATGCCCTGGGCAGCTCATTTGTCAACCCCAGTATGCATGATCAGAAATTTACGTTGCACCTTCCAGGAAAGTGCCGGGACAACTGTCCTTAACCCATCAGAGCCTTCCTATTCCCAAGGCTGGTGAGGCATCCGATTATCCAATAAGAGCCAGAGGTAAGCTGGTCCCCAGCATCACCTGGGAGAGCTTTCCAGCAGCAATCACATGTGGGTCCCTCAGTCAGAGAGTCGGGGGGCGGGGGCGGCAGGGCACAGGATCACGTATTTTTCAAAAAGCACCACAGACAGTTGTAATGTGCGGCCAAATTTAAGAAATACTGCACCAGACACAGCACCCCACAGCTTTGGAGCCAGAATCTGTCGACTTCAGCAACTCGTGACTTGGCCTTCAACTTTTCACTTCACACTAGTAGTAAGTCTTTAAATGCCCTCTTATTTTCCATGCCCAGTCAGGAGTTCTTAAGTGTTCCTTGGGAAGCCACTAATTTCACACAGCAGCTCATTTTCTTTCCTTGGAAAGCAACCTATATATAGCTAGAACCAAAGGCTGAAGAATCCCTCAGACTCAGGCAAGGTGGTAGTTTCATTCCTAGTTTAAGAGTCACTAAAAATTAGGCACTCCTACCTATTGTCCAAATGATTATTGCCTGTAGGGTGAAGAAATGTTTCCAAATTTTTGTACTACAAGGCCACTTAAAAAAAAAAAAAAAAGACCCTCTATGTGGTAATTGTACCTTCAGCCTATCTTGACTGAAGAGAGACCCATGAACTTGTGGACTTATGGATCCTATGCTAAAATCCCACACACAAGTAATTGTAAATCACTAGACAGAAAAAGGAGCCCACACGGCCTCGGTAATCAGGGAGACCTGGGTTCTAACTGCAGGTATACGCTCAGAGCTGTACAACCTTGGGTGGATTACATTAGCTCCTCGAGATTCCATTTTCTCCCTGTAAGCAGGGAGAATAATACAGAGCTAGCTGGCAGGGCTGATCATGAAGATGAAATAAGATATGGGAGCCTGCTTCTCCCTCTCTCTCTGCCTGCCGCTCCCCCCTGCTTGTGCTCTCTGTCAAATAAATAAATAAAATCTTTAAAAAAAAATCAGTGAAACTCGTTACCAACCAATACTAGTTCATGAACCAGCATTTAGGAACCACTGTCTTAGAGTCGTTTTTTTCCAACCTAAGACATAGTGCCGTGGAGGAAGCTGGCCACGTTTGCTCTCTGGAACCTAGATATGAAGACAAGGAGAGTGGGAGAAGAGAGGGAGAGAACACAGCCACAACAGCCACTGCCAACAAGTCTGCAAAGTGTCCCCTGGGAATGGCATTTAGTGGTGTGAACGAGAATAGCTGGCATTTTTGGAGCGCTTACTCTGCGCCAGGCACTGTAGTCAGTAATGTGCACATACCCATTCAGTTACTTCTCACAACCCTAAGAGGTGGTATCAGTATCCCCACTGCACTGGTAAGAAAACTTGTTTAAGTAGTAAAACCAGGATTGGAAGCCAGGTAATCTGGCCCCACAACCCTGGCTCAATCTCTATGCTTCACTGTTCTCAAATCAATATGGAAAAGTGACTAGTATATACTGTTAGAAAACAACAAAACAAAAGCCCTAGGTCTCTAATATAACCTGAAACACAGAAATATTGGGGAATGGTTCCAGATTTTATAAAAGGAAAGCGAGAGTTGCCTGGGTAGCTCAGTCGGTTGAGCAACTGACTCTTGGTTTCGGCTCAGGTCGTGATCTCAGGGCCATGGGATTGACCCCCGAGTTGGGATCTGCGCTCAGCACAGAGTCTGCTTGTCTCTCTCCCTCTGCTCCTCCCCCAGCTCGTGTGCACATGCATGCTAACGAATTAAATCTTAAAAAAAAAAAAGAACGTAAAGAGGGGTGCCTGGATGGTTCAGTTGGTGGAGCATCGGACTCTTGACTTTGGCTCAGGTCATGATCTCAGGGTCCTGGGATGGAGCCCACGTCGGGTTCCTTGCTCAGCAGGGAGCCTGCTTCTCCCTCTGCCTGCAGCTTCCCCTCACCCCCGCTTGTGCTCTCACTCTCTCTGACAAATACATAAAAAAAAAACAAAAAAAAAACAAAAAAAAACCAGCTCTCAATGCAGCTCAGTCCCGATGCTTAATCACATCTACATAACTTGCCAAAATTCTCTGGACCTAGTTTCCAAAGGAGTCTCTCTCTCAGAAAACACTGCCTCACCTAGGACTGAAAAACTAAGTCATATCCAAGCTGGAAGATAACAAGGGAATTTAAGGAGCTGTGGAGTTCCTTTACTGATATAAAGATTCCTTCTGCCAACAATAAAGAGA